GTTAGTTTTGAATTTCTAACTCAATTTACTGAATTTTGAGAAATTTTTAAATAATACCCAGTTTTGGCATGAAGATGTTACTTTTGATTTTAAATTTGTTGCATCCGACTTTCTAATAATACTATTATTTTCAATTTTTTTCAGCTTATAACTAGAACGGTTGTGTCGGATTTAAAACAACAACGGTTAAAATATCTTTTCAAGTTTTTTTTAAATTAATTTTTTTCTGGGCGGTTGAGAGTTATTTTTATGGAGAGAGTTCCTCGCGCTGCACGGCACTTCGGAACTCAGATGGCTATGTGATTGGTTGAAGGGGAGGTGACGTCATAACCTTGAATTAAATGACTGATTATTATTTTCGGCAGTATCTTAATGTATTTATTCGTCTCGCATACTTAGCTTGCAGTATAATAATTTTCACGCTACAATATTTTATTATTGTTTATCGTGAAAAAAAAAAATAAGCGGGAAAATCAATAATGTGTATCTTTTGTTTTCAAAAATTTTTCATTTCATTGTGGGCGTTTTTTTTTTTTTTTTTTCCTTTTTGTTGAAGTCCTGATTCCACGGGCAACGCCGTGCGCGTACTGCTAGTAATATAAATAAACAAAAATGAATTTTTTCAATAAGTTTGTGCACAGGATTCTTTCGAAGAACTAAAATTATAAATTGTGTGGTATGGGGTATAATACTTGGAATTCCCTAGGATTTAAGTACTATGCTTGTGAACCCAAATGTAGGCACTTAAGTTTTTTTTCAGTTAGGATGGATTTAATCATCATTTTAAGAATGATTAAATGTAAATAAAAATAATTAATACAAGTATGCACATAATTTTTTATCGGTAATGATGCATTCATTATTCTGTAGTTATGTAAAAATAAAAGAGAAATATGTCACACAAAGTTCTAATAAAAAATCCCCAAAATAAGTAAATAAAACCATTATCTGCGTAATAAAAATTCATAAAAAATAATAATTGTCGTAAAATCCACTTAAATGACATGATTAAAATATATTAAATTAAACCATAGAATAAAAGCAAATTTTGAAGAAATAACGTATATGACTTCTTCCTTCGATCCACGACTTTGGGAGCCGGGACATTTCTAACTAATAGATAGCATTTAGAATAATTTCTAAATGATGGCAGTAATCTGATAGTTCTAACAAAACTCATGGCCGCTGAAAAACGAAAACGATTAAATTAAATTGAATATTCGCATGCTTAGGAGGAAGACTAAATTTAAAATAATTTTATGGAATATTAAAAATGAAATGGAAAAGTTTTCGAACTGATTTGCAATATTTATTCTCCTTCTTTTCTGGAAACGACATATTTCATTCGTCGGTAATCATACAGAACCTCTTGCTAAAATGCATAGCCATCGTTAGTGGCAGAATCAATTTTATAGTGAATTAGGCATTTTCTGCCTAAATAAATTTTTTTTTATATAATCGAAACCCTGGAAAAAAAAAGCATTGAACACGATGTATATATAGATATGAAATCTTCTAAATTAAGATTTGCATTGGATAAATCTTGACCCGAAACGATGGGCCGCGGGCTTAGCTGGTTAAAGCGCCCTGTCTAGTAAAACAGGAACATGAGTTCGAATCTCGCCGGTGCCTGAAGTTGACCAACTCGTATTTTTCACATCGGTCCTACATAAACGAAACTTAGGTTTCTGGGCTAAAATTATGAATTTCTGTTTGTGTTAAGTTGAAAATGCTGGCTAATAAATCATTATTTTATCGACTATAATTCGCAAGTTTTAATTCGGTAAATCCTAACTGCAAATTTTGTATAAATTATTATTCCATCATCATATCAGTCTTGTTTCTTTCAAAGGAATCACTGATTTTGTAATTTAAAAAAACGCAAATCAATAAAATATTTTTATGGTTTTCACTCGAAGAAACTTTTGAAATAATTTTTTCTTTAATTATCTAATATTGAAAACTTTTAATTATTTGTTATATTGCTATATGTAAAGAAAGATAAATAAAACTGAATTTAAACGTTTTGTTAAGACTTCAGGCTCATATATGATATTAAGTAGTACCAATTGATGTATTAAAAAAGTTATTGAAATTTCAAATTGATATATATGATGCAAATAAAATTGGAATCTAGAATCGCTTTCAAAACCTGATGTTCATTTGTGAGATATGAATATGACTGCATTATTAAGAAAATAATAGTTATTAAAATTTCAAACCACAGCAATAGATTTGAAGAATATTAAATTTAAAAATCATGCTTGCTGAAGAAACCTGATGTTCATTATGAGATATGAAAAATTATTAAGAAAAAACAGTTGAGCTGGAAATTTCAAAACCAATATAATAGGATTTGAATAAGATTGAATTCTTAGAATCGTTTTCTAAAACCTGATGTTCATTTTGTGAGATATAACATGACTGCATTATTAAGAAAGGCTATTGAAATGCCTCAAACTATAATAGATAGCAATGTAACTGGAACGAAGCAATAATGA